CCCAAGATCCTGACCATCCGAACAGCTGGACTAAGGGATTCATGGCATAATGGAACCCTGTCGAGGTGCTTCTCTCTCTCTCTGTCTCATGCATATGCTCTCTAACATGAATAAAACTTTTTTAAAAAATTGGGGAATAAAAGAAACATTAAAAAAAAAAATGGAGGCCAGACTGTGGCCTGGTGATTAAGTGGCTAGATCCTACATGACTGTGTGGTTCAAGTCCCAGACCTGGCAGCTTGAAAAACACACTGGGTGTGTGTGCATGTCCTCAAAATCCTGAAAGGAGGGAGAGATGGTGGAGAAGAGATTGTGGCATGACAGTACCCCGTGGAGGGGGCTTTCTCACTTTCCATCTCTCTCTTTCTTTCTGACTGCCTCTCTCTGGTGAGCGCACAAGCCCTCTGGCAAATAAAAAAAGAAAAGAAAAGAAAAGGAAGAAAAGAAAAGGAAATGAAAGAGGGAAAATAGAATGTTTGTTTATTACTTTGGGGTAAAAATGACTCTTTAAATAAGACACATAAACAGTGAGACTGATAAATTCGAGATTGTCTTGTGTCAAGTTCTTTTAAGTATCGTATTAAATATATTTTAAGTACATTATTAAGAGACAACTCTGGAACAGTATGATGATTATACCCATTAGGTGGGGTAAAGGGGCTTAGGGTAAATTGTATGAGGTACATCCAGCATATTTTCAGGTTGACCTGAGAATCTGAACCCATGGTCTGTCATGTGGCTTCTAGCATTGCAGTTCAGTTTTCTTTTCTTTTTTTTTTTTTTTTTTCTTTTTAGAGATTTTTTGCTATAGGGCGCATGTACTCTCTGGAGAGACAGAGAGAGACATAGGGACAGAAAGCAAAAAATCATCCCCCCCACCTGGGGTAATGGCTATGCCACAATCCCTTCTCCATTCTCTTCTTGGGATCTTGGGCACACACGTGCCTGGTGTGTTTTAAGCCATTGGGTCCAGGATTTGAACCTCAGTCAACTACATGGGAAGTTCAGTGATGTAACCATTATACCATCTGCTGGCCCAGTGCAATTCAGTTTTCTATACTCAGCTTGTTAAATTAAAAACCAAAACAAAACAAAAAAAATCAAACCTATTGAGCATTTGAATGGACTGTTCTGGAAAACGAACTTGGAGGAAAAGCGATGTGTTTACAATATTGTCTCCCCTTCCTGGGAAACTTTTTTCTTCCTGAATTCTATTTCTCCCTTCTCAGGCACCCTAGGTAGATTTAAGAGTCCCCTTTCATCAAAGATTGGACCACAACTGCCATAAACCATGGATTAAGGCTCTTATTACCCTACTTCCCGTTGAAGAAGGAAGAGGCTGGAGACCAACTGCCAAATGAGAAGAGTTGAAAAGGAGCTGAACAACCAGCTTTGGGGAGACAGGCTATTCAAGGAGGTGACCTTGGAGACGCAGTGGAGTTTGCCAAGACAAGCCCCTGGGCCTCCTAGACTCTCCTCCACTGATTCTGAAAACAGGCAGTTTTGCAGGAACAGCTAGAAAGTTCCAGAAATCACAGGTCCTTGGGGCTGAAGTCTGATTTTAACTCCTTTTTGCGCCACTGTAGAGATGAAGAAAGGGAGGTCAGGAGGTCAGAGACCAGCCTAGATAGGTCTGGTCTCCCCTTTTCTCCAAAGTTGAGTTTGAGTTCGCAGGAAGATCGAATGCCATCTGAAGATGAGGGAGAATGTACAACAGTCCCCATATCCTCAGACCCTCCTTCCCAGGGATGCCTGAAATCATAGACGGTCCCAAACCCTGTACATACTCTGCTTGATCTGATAACTCAGACGGCTGGACAAATGATGACCTGTGACCTGAGCAGGATGGACCTGGAAACATGACACTTCTTCACACTACTCAGAACAGTACACAATTTGGGACCAGCAGATGGCATAATGGTTACCTCACTGGACTCCCATGTAGTTAACCCTGGTTCGAGTCCCAGACCCGGTGGCTTAAACTCACGCCGGGCACATGTGCGTGCATGCCCAAGATCCTGAGAGGAGAATGGAGGAGAAGG